GTGCCCACGAGAGGCATTACTAATCAATCATGGCATGTTCCCCTCAGGAGAGCATTCCAAGCAGCCACTACCAATCGATCCCCAGCGTTGTGACTGGAAACCTCCCAGGACCCACAAAATAGTGCCTGACCACTCCTGCTGCCAATGCAAAGTTGTTGAGAAGGAAGGGCTCCCTAGAGGAGACTGGGATGGACAGAGAGCAGGTTCCAGCCACACGGACCAGGCTCCAGTGTCCAAGATTTTTGGCACAGTCAGGAGGACTAGGCAGGTGGTGGAAGCGAAGCAGATGGGGGAGATTTTTGCACAGATGGACCATGAGGTCATCACGACTGATCCTGGGGCAGAGGCCATCTGTTTGTCTGTCTGCCCTCTGCCCCAGTTTTATGCATCTTGCTTCATGTGAGCAGCTGGTGTCTGGCCAGGTGTGTGTTGCCATCAGAGAGACAAGCTGGACTCTACAGGTGCTGGTGCTGGCGGGGCCCCCAGCAGAAGGCAGGACCTGCAGAGGATGCTGCCATCTGTAAGGTCTGCTCAGCCTACAGGGCCGACCCAGGCCAGGACAGAAGGCCCAGGCTAGGAGGAGGGGTCCTTTGCTGTGATGTCAGTGTGTCTTTAATACCCAGTGGCAGAGTCCCTTTAACACCAGGTGCCAGGCCCAGAAGGCCCTCGGGTGTTAGCGTAAACAAATGCATACGAACTCTAAGGATGCAGGTTGGCAGGACCAGGACTTCCTCCAGACTTGACGTTGGTGGAGAGGAGCAGAGTTTACCAAACCAGTATCCTGAAGAAGTCTGCTGCTACAGAGCTCCCTAGAAAGTTCTGTGGGAAAGACTGGGTGAAACAAACAGGTCTCTTTACTCTGGGTCTTCCCAGAGCCTAAGGTCTGCTCAGATACAGTGTGGATATTTAAGATGAGGCCGTAGCGTGCAGCATTTCCTGAACTTCGCCTCTCAGGGAAAGCTTGGTCTGGGAGATTTTTTTTATCAGTATCTCCCGGGACTAGCGCTTCATAGAACAGAATTTTTGAAAACGCCTCCCAAAGTTTCCCATGTTGCCCGCTTCTGCTCCGCAGGGCACACCCTCCTAGGCCCTCCAGCACCACCTGCACGTTCCTGCCTCCAGTCGCTTGCTTATGCAGTACTTCCCCTGAATGCCGTGTATTTGCCCTCTCCCTTTGTGTATTCTGTGCGCCTTAAGTCCCACCCGTCCACCAAGTTTTCCATAGGCTTCCAGGGGGGACATAACCGCTTGCTGCTTTCATCTCCGCAAATGGGCTGCAGCTGACTCGTGTTCTTTCTTTGTGTCCTGGAAGCACAGCTCAGGGCTGGGCAGGTGGCGCTCCAGGAGTTTGATTAGTTCAGGCCCTGCCAGGTGTGCGGAGTGGCTACACCTGTGGGCAGGTGTGAGCCTCACCTCCAGTTCAGCAGGTGTAAAGCAGCCATACCTCCAGTCAGGAAAGAAATTTCTCCACCTCTGGAACGTCACTCCCTTCCTCTGCTTCTTACTATGCAAGGAGCGTGGGTCAGAGGGGAGGGAAACGGCTGATCTACTTACATGCTCTCTTCCTCTGAAGTGAAACCAGGGGCATTCTCTTATTTAATTATTATTATTATTATTATTTTTTTCGGTACGCAGGCCTCTCACTGTTATGGCCTCTCCCGTTGCGGAGCACAGGCTCCGGACGCGCAGGCTCAGCGGCCATGGCTCACGGGCCCAGCCGCTCCGCAGCATGTGGGATCTTCCCGGACTGGGACACGAACCCGCGTCCCCTGCATCGGCAGGCGGACTCTCAATCACTGCGCCACCAGGGAAGCCCTATTTAATTATTAATGCCCCAAGTCAGATGGTGACTGCTGTGTTAACCTCTGTTACTCCGAATAGAGTCGGCCTAATAAGCACCGCGGCGGGATTGATTTTCCCTCAGTCATCTCAGAAGTATATGTCTTTGGGATCTGTCCTCAGAGAGGGAGCCCGGGAAGCCCCATTAAAGTTAATGACTATGAGTTGCCCCCAGGTGGGGACGGCTCCTTTCTGGCTGCTCTTCACTCCACCTCAGTGAAGTGTCGGAGACAAGTAGAAACACATTTTCTAAGATCAGTTCCCAAAAGGAACTGACTGGCAACAGACTAGGACTTGACCCCAGCCTCCAAGCATTTACGGACACATCGGAAAGATGAAGTCAATCTGCTGGGAAGGATGTCAGGGCAAGATGGGAGGTGATGAGCGCTGGACCGGCTGGCCGGGCTGGAAGCTGCATGAGTGTAGTGTGCTGGCTTGCGGTAGGTGCCGAGCCCTGCAGCGGCGGAGGGAGCGGGGCTGGGGCCTGAGCTGGACCTGGCGTGGCAGGTGTCTGGATGTGCAGAGTTGAGGAAGAAGGGCATTGAGGGCAGGGGAGCCGTGTGAGCGAGGCTTGGTAGAGAGAAAGAGCAGGAGATGGGGCCAGCCTGACTGGGGAGGAGGGATGGGTGATAGGTTGCATCTTTTAGACTGGCCGCTTCAAGGAAAAACTCTGAGGGCTGAGGGGGTCCTAGGGGAGTCACCTCTTCCACCCACAGGCCGACATCTTTCTCCCCCGACCACACCACCACAGAGGTGGACTTGGCCTCAGATGGCGAACTTTGTGAATGCTGGTGACAGGGCTGATCGAGGCTTGGGGGTGAGTCCTGGGGAGCATTCCCTGCTCGGTAGCCTTGACACACACACAGTAACGGAGGAGTGAGGCCTCAGACTGTGTAAATGCCACCTGGCTGGCAGTGTCCTGTGCTCCCGCATCCATTTCCACCTCCTGTGTGCTCATCCACACACCTGTTACCCTCTCTGTGCCCTGGTGCCCAGGTATCTCACCGCCCAGTGGGAGTCAGCCAAACTGTCCTGTCCAGATCTGACTCAGAGAGAAAGGTTTTCACAAAGATTTCAACAGATCTCCCAAATTATAGCCGCGATCCTAGTTACCTCCATCGGCCACCCCTCTTCCATCACAAGGATTAAAAGGGGCCAGAGGCACAGTCTCCTCTAGTCCAGGTGGCCTCACCCTTTGATATTCTAAGCTCCATAAGTTTGAAGATGTGGCCGGGGGTCCTCTCGGGAGAATGCTGGAGATTACAGGAGCGGCCAAAGTAACGAGACAGGGCCGTGGAGAGAATCAAGGTGAGGCATTCTCTGCAGTTTGCGTTCAGACTTTATGCCTTTCAGCGCTGCTGTCCCTTCGTTTATTTCGTTACTTGATTTATTTGATGTCTGATCAGCCCAACCCTCACCTGGAAGAAGATGCCCATCCTCCAAACTCAATGCCATGTCTTGGGCAGGCCCTTTCCCCTCCCAAAGGTGAAGGTCTCGCCTTCTCTTTGAGGAGAATGTGTTGAAATGACCGGCAGCCCTAGCGCTGTGTAGGGTCCAGTGAGTGCGGCGCCCTCTGTCCAGGTGCTCGTGGGGCCTCCGAGGCCTGGGGGCCGGTGGGGTGAGCGTATGGGGGAGTTAGGAGCGGCTGTGGCTTGCAACTCCCAGACTGCAAATTGTGCGGAAGCACCAGAATTGCTTTTCTCTTTCTTAACCGATTTTCAGAATCCATTTAGCCAGATTATGTCCAGATCTCAGACAGAAAAACCTCATTAATCATCATTTGGACCCCCATGGTTACACAGAACTTGTGACAATTTGTTTATCTTTGAAGGAGCTGCTGAGAAAGAGTTTAACAAGGAAATTATTGGGGCTGGGAGGGGAGAGTTTAACCTTTCACAAAGGCAGGCGCTCCATTTAGCTTCCCTCGGAGTACAAATGGGGGCGTGTGCGACATCCATGTTACGCTTCCTTGTCTCCAAGAAGGTGCTTCTCGTCGGTAAACTCCAGGTCAATGGACTAGAAATCCTCAACCGTTTCAATCCTGGGGACCCCTTTCCAATGTCAAAAGAGTTTCTATACCATCCCTGCCCCCAGTTGTTAGAAGCTGCTTTTTTTTTTTTTTTTTTTTTAACGTGGCTGATTGAGAATAAAAGGTCCTTTGAATTCAGTAAAGCTTTTAAGCAAATCACGATCGCATCTGTGAACACGGGAAATATAGTGCTATCTTTCTGAGTCATAGTGTTTGTTCAGTCTGTAGCCGATGTTTCAGCACACGTGAATTGCAGGTCCCCTGGGGGTGGCTCTGGGGCCCCCTGCACCCTCACCAGGTGGGAACCCTTGGGCAGTTCTCTAAGGCTGTAGGACCACGGAGTCCCGGACAGGACGGAGTCTCGGAGGTCATTTCACCGCTCCCACCTTAATGGTTCTCTGCCTCTATGAGGAGCCCTTGGTTGGGGGATCCCCAATTCAAGGACCAAGGGGCTTGGTAGCTGGGGAGGCCCACTTAACCCCTGACTCGGGCTGTCACTTCAGGGGCCAGGATCAGACTCCACAAGCTGATTCCTCAAAGCCCCTTACCAGGCTATCCAAGCCCTTCGCCCCCGGTTTGGTATGACGTGCAGAGATCATCACCCTGGGTGTCAGTGGCTGATAGCCCATGGGAACAAGAAAAGCAAGGACCAGCCTTCTGGGTGGCTTGTTGGACCAGAGCTGCTAAGAAGGGTTTTCTCAGCTTACCTGTCCCCAGGGCCATACCAGACACCTTTTTTCTCTGTCTTCATTGAAGGAGGGAGTAGAGAGAGGAAGTGAATGGGCAAAGCACATGAGGGAGAAGGGACAGGGGGAGGGTGTTGTCCTTAAGGTAGAAGATCAGGGGTTCTTGGTCCAAGGATGGGCTCAGGGGCCTGAGGGCACCCTGAAATCACAGCCAAGTATCGTGCGTGTGTGCGTTTTGTGGGGGAGAAGGTCTGTAACTTTCATTAGATTCTCAAAGTCCGTGAACCAAAAAACCTTTCAGAAGCTCTGGCCTAAAATTTCAGTGTTTCCCTGACTCAGCCTTCCCACTGCCCGGTTACTCAGAAGTGGTGAAGTGTTACGGTGTTAGTCAAAGCCTGCAAGTGTGAAATCAGCTGCTCGTTACACGATGACGATGGGAAACTTCGCAGCTTAGCGAGCCCCTTCCGCCGCCTCACGCGAGGAGTCATGGCCCCAAACAGATGCCTGGGAAGACGGTCTGATTAATGACGCTGCCTCCTCTGTTCTCCCGCGCAGGGCCCAGGATGGCGCTCTCGGTGGCAGGGCTCCTTGTCTGCTCCCTCCTGCAAACCGTCCTCTCCCTCAACCCCGAGGACCCCAACGTGTGCAGCCACTGGGAGAGGTAAGATGCGGTTCTTGGACAGCCAGGCACTCCCTCGGGGCCTCACCCTGGGCTTGGCACTGTTGGGACAAAAGCAGAGGCAGGAGGTACGGAAGCTGTCCACCAAGGGCCTGCAGTCCAGCTGGGGACACAGCACAGATGCTGAAAGGTGGGCCAAAGCTGTGTAGATTCTGTCTGAGACTCAGTGCTCCGGGGGTCAGGGTGGGGGCGTTGAGTGACAGGCAACGTGAATGATGCGGTCTGGTAGTTGACAGTATTCCTCCCTGCATTTGCGCTTACAGCCATTTTACAGATGAGGAAGTAGAGGCCCAGAGAGGCTCAGTGCCCATCCCCAGAGAGGCGGGGTGCAGTGAGAGACTGGGGTCCAGATGAGCTGTGCTCCAATGCCACGATGCCTTCCTGGTCTCCCAGGACTGGCAATGATGCAGCAGCTCAGATGTGCAGGGCAGCCGGCAGCCTGCCCCGAGCAGGGTAGGTGAGGGGGCCCTGCTGCTTCTGATCTGGTGGGGTTAGAGAGGGCTGACAGGGGAAGGGCAGCTGCATTCTGGCTGTGGCACTAGGTCCAGGGGGAACAGGCCGGGGCTCTGCAGATGGCCTGACTTTGAAGCACAAGGTGAAAGTATCGATTTGGTGAGCGGAAAGACAGTGACCAGAGACCCAATCAGGAAAAACCAAATTATACCCTGGAATTGATTGACCATGCTGACCAGGATGACTCTGTCACTTAGATGTTAATAGATCAAATAAATAAAATTAAGATGAGCGCCCGACGGGGGAAGCGGATGGTGGAGGAGGGCAGGTGAGTGGGGAGGGCCGTGCTCCATGCCTGTGAGGGTGAATGCCCCAGCCCCACGGCAGGGAAAGTCCCCTCACCCAGGGCCTGGCGGGACTGGCTGGGAGGCAGAGGGATGGTGCCCACACCAGCGTGGTCTCCAGTGACCGCGTGCTCCATGAGGGGTCCCGACAGAGCTGAGGCTGGAGCGGAAGGCAGCGTTGCCACCAGCGTGCTCCTTTTCGGTGAAGTGGGAAGAACACGAGATCAGTGATGAGACCTTGGTTCACACCAGTCTGGAGTTTTCTGTCTGTTAGCCCTGTGACTTTGGGGATGTCTCTGAACCCCTCGGAGCCTACCTCTGCCTCTGTAAAGTGGGGAGAATCGTTACCCCTGCCTCACAGGCTTGTCGGATGATCAAGGCACCAGTTTCATGAAAGGGCTTTGCGGACCATGAAGCTCAATTATTGTCTTTCCTTGTTGACAACTCCAGCTTTGCAGGAACAGTTATCACAGACTTTACTGCACGTCAGGCACCCTGAAGTGCTGGTGAAAAGCAGATTCTCTTGGGTCCTCTCCGCAGAGACTCTGATTCCGTAGGTCTGGGGTAGAGCCTAGGCATATGCAGTTTTCATAAGCTTTCCACATGATTCTGTGGTGATCCAGGCCCCTTACCTCTTCTAGTTTTGGTGAATGTAAACCTTTGTTTCCCAGTGGGTGAGGGAGAAAGCAGGTGACTCCCACATGAGTCTTTGGTTTGCAGACTTCAGTCTCAGCAATCCCCGTCTCATCCACCTTTCCCAGCTGGGACTCCGTTGCTTCCTGCCGAAGTCTGTGCTGTATCCCGGCTTCCGGAACGCCTCCTTCCCGTCTGCTCACCTCTGCCTTTCCCAGTGCCTCCAACCTCTCCTCCAGGAAGCCTTCCCTGATGGTAGGACCCACCCTGACTTCCCTTTTCTCTGAGCGCCACTTGCACCAGTGGATCAGTGCAAACTTAAACCAAACTCACTAATTTTCTAAACCTGCCCGACATGAATACATTTGGAATGTGGAAATAGTCTGATCCGAACCTGCACTGAGCCGGCGTTTCAGGCTGTTCGGGCTATCAGCTGAAGTTACTGCTTTGATGGGAGGACAAGGAGAGATTCCAGCAGCTAAGAGGAGGTCTGGGGCTCCTCCTGCCCCTAGGGAGGAGGTCTTGTGTGATGCCCTGTGCCACCAGGCGCCTCTTCCTTCTTGGCTCTTCCAGCTGAGCTCCATTGCCATCTACACGCGGATGAGTCTAGTCTGTGTCGTTCCAGAAACACACCCTGGTCCCCGGAGACCGCTTAGGGAGAATTTCCCAGCTGGATTAGTGCTTCTGGATGGCTCCTCGTTAATTACGCCCCTCCACCATAAAACCCAGCAGAAGGACCTCCCCTGGCTAGCAGAGCCCAGCTTTACAAGATTAATCTGGCCCCTCGTTAGCATGTTGGCAAATGAGCGTGTTAAACCACCCAGCTATGAACCCAGGGGCACACGCTGCACCCGGGGACTTGGAGTTGGTTCAAGTTCTGGTTGCCTGACTCGCTGGGCTCAGGGCACCCCTGCAGAGCTGGATCTGTTCCCCATGACACCCTCCCCACCGTCTCTGTTGGGCTGTTGCCCTTTCTCTGAGCACCCACTGTCCCTGTCCGTGCTACAAGGGGTGCCTGATTCCCCCAGGTGCTTAACAAAGGCAGGGAGTCTGGTCTGTGTGTGGTCTTTCTCCCCATCCCGTATTATGGTCAGGGAGGAACTATCCCTCGGTGCCTGGCAAGGAGGTGTGTCACTGCCAGTCATATAATGATGATGGCCAGCATCTATTAGACACTGACAGTGTACCTGTTAAGCATTTTATGTGTATTATCTTGTGTTGAGCATTTTACCTGTGTTATCTTGCTTTACCTTCCCACCACTCTGAGAGACAGACGCTATCACTGCCATCCTAATCCTTGCAATAATGATATGAAGTCCCTGGTAATAGTTATCATAGGTTTACAGGTAAGGAAATGGAAGCTTATACCAGCTAAGTATTATATCTAAGGACAGGCTGCTAACAAGTGACAGGGTTCAAACTTGACCCAGAGCCCCTGTACTCTTAGCCTGCCTCTAAGTGAGAGACTCAGTAGAGATGCAGGAGCCCAGGGTCATAGATTTTCAGAGTTGGAAGGGGCTTTGGGACGCCAGGGGCGGGTGTCGAGCTCAGTTTCTCCAAGCCTGGAGATGAAATGGGTTCAGGCCATGTCTGCATAGACATGTGCCTCTGACGCACATCTCTGATGTGCCGGCTGGTAGAGGCTCAGCAAGGACCCTTCTCACATCCTCCGTGCTTCAGAGAAACAGAATTTCCCACCACCCTGAGTACATGTGCATTGCTGACTGCTCCTGGCTTCCTCTTTCTGAATTCTAGACCTTTGACATTTCTGGCAGCAGAGAGCCTGATAGAGAACCACTTGGGGGGCTGGCCTGCCCCAGCCCCCCTGCAAGTAAACCGACAGTTTTCTCAGGCAAAGCAGACGGGCTTTTATAGCCTGGACCTGGCCATCTGGACCAAGTGAGTGAGCCTTCTGGGGAAAAACACTGAATAATACCAACTGACATAAAAATTAATCCCTAAAATCTCAGCAGAGGTCCTCTCCCAGCCTGCATAGGAAGTGTGAGTCCTCACTTTACACCCTGGCCTGACTGCCTTTGCATACCTCTCCTGCCAGCACGGGCAGGTGGAAAGGCTTATTTTGATAAAGCTGGGAGCTGCTTCCCTGTGGCTTCTACCCCCTGGTCCAGGTTTACAGTTAACAGGCAGGTAACAAGATACCACTTCAATCAGGAGGTCCAGGGGCATGTCCTCGTTGCATCCCCAGCTATACTAGAGACATAATAAAGCAGAGGGTAATGGGTGACCTTGGGGAAGTCACTTAACGTCTCTGATGCTCAGTTCCCTCATCTGTAAAATGAGGATAACAGTGCCACCACCTACCTTATAAGATTGCGTGAGGGGACTTCCCTGGTGGCGCAGTGGTTAAGAATCCACCTGCCAATGCAGGGGACACGGGTTCGAGCCCTGGTCCAGGAAGATCCCACACGCCGCGGAGCAACTAAGCCCGCCCGCCGCAACTACTGAGCCTGCGCTCTAGAGCCCGTGAACCACAACTACTGAGCCCGCGAGCCACAACTACTGAAGCCAGGTTGCCTAGAGCCTGTGCTCCGCAACAAGAGAAGCCACCACGATGAGAAGCCTGCGCACTGCAACAAAGAGTAGCCCCTGCTCGCCACAACTAGAGAAAGCCCACGTGCAGCAATGAAGATCAAACGCAGCCAAAAAATAATAATGAGAAATTAAAAAAAAAAGATTGTGTGAGGATTAAGAGGGCTTAAAACATTTAACACAGGGCGCTCAAATATTAACAGTTATTGGTACCAGCTGTGTGGCCTGGACAAGCTGCCTCTAAGCCTTCATTTCTTCATCTGTAAAATGGGACCACTTATTTCATAGAGTTGCTGCAAAGATCAGCTTCTATGCATGTGCTCTGAAGACCATAACGATCTGAGCAAACATTAAGTATTTTAAAACATACTAGCTTTGGGCCTTCCAGAGCCACATAGAATAAATGGAAACCCTCCTTTATTCATTCTCTGTTAAATGAACAAATGAACCAGAACTTCGGAAAGCGAGCTGGGCCACAGGACAGTAAGGGGTGTGCCCTGGATCTAGCCTGGAGTCAGGGAGGTTTGAATGCGGAGAGTACCCAGGGCAGGAGGAGGAGAGTGGGGTTGGGGTGGGGGGGTTGGAGCCCCTGGACACTTGGCTGTGGGGCCTGGCTGCCCTGGGGAGGGAGACCCCATCCTGAATATCAGCTCTGCCTCCCAAGGGCTGACCACAGCTTCCATCTCCTGTCTGGTTCTCAGCTATGCCGTGACCGTCCAGGAATCGTACGCACACCCCTTTGATCAGATCTACTACACGCGATGCACAGACATCCTCAACTGGTTCAAGTGTACCAGGCATCGGTGAGTACCTCTCTCAGATGGTGAGTGGGGGGAAAGAGGCAGGCCCTCAGGCTCACCTTCCTGCCCCCCTAGCAGATGGAGTCAGTGCACCGCCTGCATCCCCTTGGTACCCACCCTTGGTACTCACGGGAGAGGCTCTGCTGAGGGCTTCTTTATAGTCAGAGCGGCTTATGGGCAGGGCAGGCTAGAAGTGCTAGAGAATTACTGCCCTTGGAGGGCATCCCTCACCCAATGACAGATGGGGAGTTAGTGGAAGAATATGCTAGCTTCCTTACCCTTAGGGTAAGAAGTTCCTTACCCAGCTCTGAGGCGTGTTCTGCACATATCTGTGGTTCCCAGTGGGATGGAACCTCAGTCACCCACAGCGGGAAGCTGCTCAAAAGTATACCCTGAATTGGCTGCCTTTACTTTCCTGTCTCATTTTACTACACCCCTCCCAGTGCTTCTTAGGATCATCTCCCAGATAAGCTACTTGCTTTTGAATCCTTGCCTCAGGGTCTGCTTCTGGGGGAGATCCAACCTCAGAGGGCCCCCGTCAGAGCACATGTAGCCCCGTGCAGCGTACCCGGCTTGGAGAACAGGGTGCAGGCTATAGACCAGCACCTCTTGGCGCCTTGGCCAGGCTGCCCATGGGAAGCACTCCATCTGAACGACTGCACGTGGGAATTCTGCCTCCTTGTCTGCAGTCCTCCTGGAAATCACGCCATGCCCTCATGGCACCAGAGAGACAGGAGAGGAAGGAAGAGAAAACATGTTTTCTTGGATGACCCTGCGCAAGTCACTCTATTTTGGGACTCCCTGTATACTCATCAAACGTGTAATGATCCTCGCCCTACCTACCTGCAGGGTCAGGGATGTGTAAATACTGTGAAAAGAGCAGGGGAAAGTGGGGAAAAGTGAGGTATTAGATACAGGCAAGGTAGCTTTGTTATTTGAGGGGTGAAAATTCAGCAGATGAAGGGTCAGTGAGGGAGTGAGAGAGAGGCTACCTGGTAGGCCCGTTGCGTAGCTTCTGAGCCTCTGTGATGTTTCCAGATATTTCTGCTTCCTCTTTGTGGGCCTGGTCACTCTTCGAGGTTATGCAGGAATCATGGTGGACAGAAATGTGGATGGGGAAACTTGCTCTATGCTGGAAGGCCAAAGTCCTGGTTTTCTTTGCGCGTTTTGCTAGTAACTTGTTGTGAAACACTGAGCGTAGATATAATAGCTGCTTTAAAATCCTTGTCTGCCAGTTCCAACATCTGGGTCATCTCAGGGTTGGTCTTCCTTGACTGCTTCTTACAGAGGTACAATCTTCTAGTTTCTTTAATGTGTCTAGTAATTTTGAATTGTATTCTGGGCGTTATGAACAGCAGAGACTGTAGAGACTGAATTCTCTTGTGTTCCTCCAGATTTGTTGTCGTTTGCTTGTTTGTTTAAGCAGCCAATTAACTTGGTTAAACTCAGTTTTCCAAACTCTGAAAGTTCATATTTTCAGCCTTTGCTGGACTGCTTGGAACCTGCCCCGTACACGTGTAATTCAGGGGGCAGAAGTTTGGGCAGAGATTTTACAAAGAATATGGGGCTTCCTCCTTGTGGCTCTCTCCTTTCTAGGGTTTCTCCTGTCACTTTCTAGTTGCTGGGTCTACCCTCAGCTTGTCCTGTGGTTCTTCAGACCAGTAAGGCCGTGTGTCCTCTATCTGAATTTTAGCCATCTGGAATATTATTGACTGGGGCCTGCCCTTGGGCTCACCTTTCCTGGTGTCATTCCCTTCTTCGAAGTGTCTACTTCCCTCCAGCATCTGCCTCTGTTCTCTCTCTAGTGCTTTTCAGGTAGTTGTCTTTTATATTTCACCCAGATTGCAGAGTTGTTTGCAGGAGGGTTGATCTGATAGGAATGACTCAGCCATTACTGCATCCCCTTAACCTCCCCTAGTTGACCAAGTGAGTTAGCTGCCTGTGGCCCTGGTCAAAGGCAGAGGCAGAAAGAAAAGTCCTGCTCCCTCCATGACTGTCAGGCCCTGTGCCGGAGCCAAGTTTGCTCTGAGGAGTGGCTTTGCTGGGTACTCGGAGGCTGGCGCTGCCGTCCGTCACCACTGGGGAAGGGTAAGTGAGTGGCTGCTTATTAAAACAGGCTGCATTCCTGGAACATGAAGTATTTTGCTGACTTACTGAGTGGCTTTGCAGCTTTCCTGGTGACCCAGCGTGAGCACGCTGACAGCAGCACCATCAGCCTCCTTCAGTGTGGAATGGCTTGTTGGAACGCAGCATCCTTCTGATGGCAGCCTGGTCCCTGGCCCCTTCCCTCTCCTTCCAGAGGAAAGGAGCCAGCAAGGATGGGAAGGTAGAAGCAGTGGGGGACATCTTTCTCTAGGGAGGCTTTAACGATTCTGAGACCACTTCTCCACTGGAAGCGCTTGGGGATGACTTTGTTTGGTGGGAGGCATGGATTGAGTGACTTCTTAGTCAACCCTGAGTCATTCTTTATCTCGGAGGCTTATACAACTGAAATTGCCGGGAGCTGCCTTCCTGTACCGGGGAAGTAGCTTCACTTAGAGGCTGGCTTACTTACCTTCCCTTATGGATTTTTGACAAAGTAGAATGACCTTAGTTTGTGACATTCCCAAATATCACAGATTTCCCTGGAGTCCTGCACTGTCATTTGTCATAAAGCGAGGGCTGTAAGCACTGGTAGGGCTGGCCCAGCCTGTGCTGTAGGACTCCCTGCCCAAGTTGGGCTGACCCTCCATGGAAAGCAGGCTATAGGCATCTCCAGTGACTGGACCTCGTGGCTCTGCCCCCCAACGAGGGGTCCACAGGGCAGGCTCCTCTGGGGTGCTGGTGGGGAAGTGAAAGAGCTCTGGCTTCAAGGCCCGAGGACTTGGGTTGAGTCCAAGTTACACCTTGACCTTGGGAAGTTACTTGCTCTCTCTGGTCTTCAATGGCCACTTCAAATCCCCTCCATTTTGACCTTATGTGTGAGGAAGGGGCTTTGCCTGTCAGTACCCAATTCTGACTCCCTCCTTAGGACTCTGTCCTCACACCATTCATTCCCTTGTCCTACTGCTTCATGATGGCCATCCCATTAGCCCAGAAAGCCACCCCTTGGGAACTGGCACAGGGCAGTAGGTTAAGCCCAGTGGCTTTGAAATTAGAGTAACTTGCGTTTGAATTCTGCCTCTGAAGCTTATTAGCTGTGTGACCTCGAACAAGTGATTTAACTTCCCAGTTTTCTCATCCAGAAAACAAAGGGGGAGAGTACATAAAACAAAATAAGAATAAAAACTCTAAGAAAGAAATAAAGGGGGCGTAATAATGCTACCTGCCTCAGATAGAGACTGAGTGATTTTGCCTATAAATCTCTGTGGCACAGGACCACGTCTCAACACTCAGGTCAGCATAAGAACTGGAACCCAGGTCTCTGACTCCCCGTCCAGAGCTTCTGCTCTCTGGATATTAGCTTCTTCCTCTGCAGAGCTGGTTCTGAGCCTTCCCAAGATGGCATGCGAAGCTCTTTCCCAGGGGCTGTTATTTTTGTTGGGAGGGAGATTAATCTACTGTCTGGGACCTAGTCAGACTCAGAGGGTCCTTTTGCTGACTTGGCTTCAGTTCTCCAACTGGGTAGACCAGTCCCCACAGGGCCATGAGCAATCATGGTTGGGGTGGTGGCAGTTGGCATAGAAACTCTCAGGGCCCAATTCCTAACAAGGTCACCCCATGGGCTGCTCCAGCCCTGGGTCTGGAGGTTTTCAGAAGTCCCCAGTTACTGTCCAGAAAGTATTTTCTGCAGCGCTTCTAAGTATCGCTCTGAAGGGATTGGCGAGAAGTCAGCAGGTGTAGCAAATGCTGCCGCCATGTCAGTGATACATTCTGCATCGCAATGGCCCAGATCCCACCATCGATTTTTCTTTATTGTGTTCCATCATATTCTAAGCCACCATGCATTTTAAAGTAATGATTGAATGGCATCCTTGATATAGTTTAACACGAATATCATTCTAACAGGAGTGATTGATTTTCAATACTTTCAAGTGGCTTTCTTTTCTGTGCCGTAGGATCAGTTATAAGACAGCGTATCGGCGTGGGCTCCGGACCATGTACCGGCGGAGGTCCCAGTGCTGTCCTGGCTACTACGAAAGCGGAGACTTCTGCATACGTATGTGGGGGCTGCAGTGGGGAGGGGAGGGAAGGGGAACAAGGGAAAGGGAGGTAGGCCTGTTATCCAGGCCCTGGGCAGCAGGCCTCAGCTGACCTGAGGGCTCCAGAAATCATTGCCTGCTGCCGGTTCTGAGGGGATAATGGGTCTGGTGCAAACGCATTAGCACAGATTTGTCTATCAGATTAACCTCCTAAGAGGGTGCATGTTAGCACATCAGTTCTAGGCTTTGATGGTGTCAGGAGAGAAGTGGATTCTTCTGGAGTGGGTGCTCTGAGGAGCAATGGGGAAGAAGTGCTGAGCGCCTGGCGCAGAGCTGAGGTGCTCAAGAAGGAAGAGGTGAATAAATAAATGGATGCATGGATAGATGGGTGGATGGATGGATGGATGGATGGATGGAAGGATGGAAGAGAGGAAGCAGGGAAGGTGGGATCATTGGATAGCAAGATCGTAGCACCTAGAAGGAGGATGGCAAGAGTAAGCTCACAAGGAACTGGTTCCAGTAAATGAGAGGATTTCCAAAAAGGACTGGGAGACACTGAAGAAAAGGTGGGTGCATAAAAGATTCATGTCATCTCTTCCCCTGTTTGTCTACAGAAAACTGAAGCCTTAGTGCCCCCAGGGAGATAAGGGCTAAGTTTCTGGCAGCCACAGGCCCTCTGGGTGGAGGGCATTGTCATGCAGTAGGAGACACCCAGGAGCCTGCAGATCTGGGTTCTGGCCCCATCTTCCCAGGCATGTTACTTTGGGCAAGTCACTCAACCTCTCTGGGAGGATGATTGTAGGGCCCTGTTGTCAGAGTCTAGAGGACTCTTTCCCACTCACCGTTGAACAGTAGACGGGGCCAGTGTGAAGCTTTCCATTGGGCATTAGGGGTTCCCTCAACTGCAGGAGAGTGTCAGAGTAGCTAGGAGCCCCCGTTTAATGACTGAGAGGAGAATCCAGCCCCAGAGCTTCTGCCCCTTCCTTTGGAGGCAGATTTGGAGAGTGAATCTCCTTTTTAGTATTCTCCTTGCCATTCGGGAGGGTAGAGCAAGCTAGCACCAGAGAGAGAATTTGGGCAGAGTGGGCATATTGACGTTGGGAATGAAATGACAGTTTTCCCCTACTGACGTTACATCTCCCCTAATGCTAAAGAAACTCGATTCTAATTGCATTACAGGAATAAATGAAAAGTGCTCTCGAGAATAAATGCAATAGTGATGGTTTCGCAGGAAAGATACAAAGATACTCACCCAAAGCAAACCCCAGAAGGCTGTTTCCCAGGAGCAGGGCAGAAGACTGGGCTGGAACAAGGCCGTGGCTGACACTTCACCTGGGATGGGGTTACTGGGGGGGCCCAGGTGTAGAAGTGAGATCAGGTTGAAGGCTTTACTGCTGCTGCTCTGTCTGCTCGAAGCAGAGTGGAAGTCAGGTGTGGGGTGGGACACGGGATTTATAAAGCCTGAGCGGGATGGTTGTGAGTGGCCGTTTGGAGCTCAGGGCACAGCGATGGACTCAGGGAAATGATAAAGGGATTTTGGACGTCAGCGTGGGGCTCCAGGAATGGATGAGCGCATCCCCTTTCTAATTTCTATTCGTGGATGTTGGGAAAGCTCTTGGAAAATGAAGAGCAGAGCAGAAGCAGAGTGTCCTGATTGTACAGGCTCTGTGTTGCTGGCCGGGAAAGGTCGCTTATAACCTCCCACATACTCCTTCTATGACGGCCAGGGACTGCCTGCCGAACTGGTGTCACAGACCTGTCCACCTCCAGGGAGCCAAGCTAGAAAAGCCACTTTCAGGTCTGAAGGCTTTTCCTAGGAGGGCACAGGAGAGTTTCAGCAGCGAGATGGGGCGTTGTGGCATGCTGGGTGCTGGCAGTAATGGCACTGAAGGGCAAGGCCTGGGTTTGCAGCTCAGCTCTGCCAGTCCCAGCATCTTCCTCTTTACCCTCCTCGTCATTGCCTTCACCAGGCACCATTCTGATCACTTTACATACATTAACACATCAACTTCTCACAACAGCCCTCTGGGGTAGGTACCCTCATTTCTCCCATTTTACAGATGGGGAAACTGAGTCGCAGAGCAACTTAAGTAACTTGACCAAGATCACAGAACTAGAAAGTGATAGTATTGGGATTTGAACCTAGGCTCGTGGCTCCAGAGTCTGCTCTGAACCACCCTGAACGGGCTCCTTCTCTCTTCATGAACCAAGATGTCACCTCTCAGAACGTCAGTTTCCATTCATGCAAAGTAGGAATAGTAACACCTACACCACCAGGCACAGCACAGGGTAGGGGCTTAATAAATGTCACCTCCCTGCTTCATGGCTTTGGGTCTTAACATCTTTTCAGCCTTGGCTTTTCTTTTAATTTCTCAGGGCTCCACGGACCCTCTCCATGGGAAAATGTGCACGACATAGAAAAACCTACACGTACACACAGTCCTTTGCACACAATTTCAGTGGGTTCATGGATCCCTTGAAACCCTTAAGGGTCCTCCAACCCATGGTGAAGAGCTTCTGCCATATGCCCATGTTTATCCACTCCACTTATATTTGTTGCTTCCTATTATGCAAATGCTGGGGAATGTAGATGCAAAGGAGAGATGGTTCCTGCCTCGGGGAGCCTGCGACCTGGTGGGAGGAGGTGGTCTGGTTCACGAATACGTGCAACAGGGTGTTGTCGGTGCTTTGACAGGCAACTCTATAAAGTAGGGTGTATAAAGGACTAAAGAGGAGGGGCTGTCTTTTAGCCACGCCCTCTTGCTGAGTGTTAAGGAGAAATCCGCTACAGACAGAAGAGGAAGCCCTTAAAGGGTGTTTCAACCCAGTATTTATTAAATGCCTTCTCATGCTGCTTTGCAAGCATGTTAACTGATGGGGCCTGATCAAGGGAAATGGGTAGGGACTAGTCAGAGTCTAGGTGGTCATGGGAGTGAGGAAAGAGGTTCATGAAGCAAGTGGACCCTAGGGTGAGGTTACAAGAATAAACTTCTAGGGAAGGGCTTCCCTGGTGGCGCAGTGGTTGAGAGTCCGCCTGCCGATGCAGGGAACGCGGGTTCGTGCCCCGGTCCGGGAAGATCCCACATGCCACGGAGCGGCTGGGCCCGTGAGCCATGGCCGCTGAGCCTGCGCGTCCGGAGCCTGCGCTCCACAACGGGAGAGGCCACAACAGTGAGAGGCCCGCGTACCGCGGAAAAAGAAAAAAAAACTTCTAGGGAAGAGTACAAAAATGATCGCAAACACGTATTATCTTGACTGAGAACTGCAGAATTTCACAGCCGGAAGGAAACTCAGATCATTTAATTCAACCTTATCACAGTACAGGTGAGACACTGACGTCCAGAGTGAGGAAGGGGCTTCTCCCAGGTTCCCAAAGCACAACAGTGGCAGGGCTAGGACTTGAATCTGGGGCCACACACTCGGTCTAGATTCTTTGATGCCTCCAACTGTCTCTACTTCAAATTCATTTCTATATCTTCCTGGGTACCAGCTCGGTGCTAGGGCACTGTAAGTCATGTGCTGATTGACACTGAGGGGATGCAGTGCAGTGAGGGATGTCAGTGGAGGTGATTTTAGGAAGAAGGGGGAACACGGAATAGGATCAGGAAGTTACAGGGTAAAGAGTTACAGAGCATCACAGCCTAGGTGGCTTAAACAGCAGGAGTGTATTGTCTCCCCATTCTGGAGGTTAGAAGTCCACGATCAGGGTGTCAGCAGGGTTGGTTCCTTCTGAGGGACCATATGGGAGGGAAGATCTTTTCTAAGCCCCTCTCCTAGCTTCTGGTAGTTCCTTGGCTTGTGGCCCCATAGCTCTCTTCTTCACATGGCTTTCTCCCTGTGAATGTCTGTCTCTAAATTTCCCCTTTTATAAGGACACTAGTCATATTGGAGTAGGGCCGAGCCTGATGACCCCATTTTAACTTGGTTACCTCTGTGAGACCCCCGTCTCCAAATAAGGTCTCATTCTGTGTTGCCGGGAGTTAGGACTTCAGCATATGTATTTTAGGGGGACACAATTCAACCCGTAACAGGTGAGTGTCAGCCGTTACCAGGACTCTGTCCTGCTTATTGTGATGGGAGGAAAGGGGGAGGGAACCAGCCAGTCCCCCACGAGCTTTGTTGTCTCTCTACGAGACAGGGGAGACCCCAGGGTCTGGGAACTTGTGAGAGGGAGAAATGGTAGTGAGAGGGTGAAGGACGGTGCCCAGGGTGCTAGGTGCCAGATGAGAAGCTTGTAAACCTGGGAGCACTCATGAGCTGCTGCCCTGTAGCCCCTGAACCTCCATTCCTCCCTCTCCACCCCTTGGAGGCCAGAAACCTCCAAGTTCACAAGAACCTGGTGAGAACCCATTTGATGCCAGAGTCCTCAGGACCCTGTACAAGAGCGTCACCTGTGCTCTGAGAAGGGACAGGGGGACATCGACCTCCCTCCAAAACCACCTTCCTGGAGGCTGTTTCTTGGCAGGTGCTAGGAGGACGCTTGCCTGGGAGTGAAAACCTTGGTTGACTCTGCCACCAGTTTGCTGTGCAATCTTGGGCAAGTCCCTTTGCCTCTCTGGACCCACTGTGGCATAGGATGGCTCATCCCTGTGCATGGAAGGAGGAAAGATGAACAATGAGTGAGAGTGTCCTGGAAAGTGTAAAGCTTGGTACAGATGCAGGGTGGCCTATTTTTCCTCCTCTTTGTACCATTTCCTCTGACCCAGAACTGCCGCCCTCATCCCAGAGCCCTTGGCAGCCCTTCTAGAACCATCTGCACCAGAGCTGCCTGTCCCCTCCCATTATCTACAGAGACAGCTGAGTCCTGGCCGCTCTTGGTTGCCCAAGCATCAAACATTTCCTGAAGATCAGTGGGTACAACACATTTCCTTCTTTCTCTTTTCTTGCGAGATAGGGCAGTGAGCATTTCGGGAAGCTCTGTTCTTTGAAAATATTGGCCCATGTCAGGCTGGATGAGCTGGGTTATGCTGCGGTGATAAACAACACCCAAATCCCAGTGGCTTAAAACAATAAGATT